CGGGCGCGGCCCGGCGATGAGGTCCGGCGCGGCCTGGGCGCGCAAGAGCGGCGGCGGGCGCCTCCGGGGCCGGGCGGGCCTGACTCGGGCCCCACGGGCCGCGACAGAGGAGAGAGAGGCGCGGGCAAGGTGGCGGCGTCCGATTGGGTGAGGGCGGTGGCGGCGGTGACGTGGCGGCTCCCCATTGGTCGGAGTGAGGTGGCCGGGCGGGGTGGACATGTCCGGCCGCCGGGCGGACGTGTCCGGCGGCGCAAGGAGGACGAAGGTTAGGGTTTGTACCGCAAATATTTCAGAGGGGATCACATATTTATAGGTAGAGGGAGCTAAGAGAGTCCAAATGAGGTGCGGTTTTTGGCCACGCGATCGTGATCGAACGACCGAGATGATGGAGCAGGTTTAGGTGGGTTTTGGGCCACTTTGGAAGGGTGTTGGGCTGCAACACACACGAGGCCTTCTTGGTCCCTCGGTTAACCGTTGGAGCATCAAACGAAGTCCAAATGGTACGAAACTTGACAGGCAGTCTACCGGTAGTAAACCAAGGCCGCTTGGCAAGTCTCGGTCCAATCCGGAAATATTTAATCCCCAAACGAAAGAAAGGTAGATATGACCACCGGAGGAGAACGGAGCGCCGGAATGCAAAGCGGACATCGGAGAAAATGTTCGGATGCATGAGACGAACACGTATGCAAATGAAATGCACATGATGACATGATATGCAATGCATGACACGCAAGCAATGACAAGGCAACAACAGCGAATAACTGGAGGACAGGTGGCACATCGGTCTCGGGGCGTTACAACTATCCCTCTAACCCCTCCACACCCTTCTTCTCCGGCACTGGCAGCCCACCCCAGACCTTGAACAAGCATCCTCCTTGCCTCCACCTGTGACATCACGACCAGCCACGTTGCCGCTCGCTGCGCCTCGTTCTTGGCGAGCCCTGGCCAAGGACGCCGCCGCATCCCCATCTCCGACCCGGGCGCTGTGCCTTCTTCCACAATTTGACTTATCCAGCGTTCTTCCAGGCAAGTGCCAAATAGCAAAACTTTTTTTCTTCATTTTTTTGAGATGGAGGATATCGGGGCCGTGCTGGCCCAAAGTCTTCTTATTTTGAGAAACCAGCCCAGGCTCTTTCTGTGGCGCAGGTCCACGACAATCGGGGGCTCTCGGGCTGCAATCAGGTGAGCAAATAAATCGAGCAACAAAGTGGGCCGCGGAGCGAGTGGCGGGCTGGCGGCAGCGAGTGAAGCGAAGCGCCGCCTCTCTTTCTTTCCCCCGAAGAAGAACCCGCACGACACAGGCCGCTTCCTCCGGCCTCCTCCCCCACCCCTCGGCCCTCCCCTCACCCGCAGCAGCGCACGTGCCTGGCCGGAGCCGAGAGCGGCGATGTCTGGCCGCGTCGGCGAAAGCAGCAGCCGCCGCCGCCGCACCGCGGCGAAGCCCCCGCGCTGCGACCGCAGCATCACCGTCTTCTCCCCCGAGGGCCGCGTCTTCCAAGTCGGTCAGTACGCACGCTTCTCGCACCCCCGAAATCGAGCTCCGCCCCCGCGTCGCCGCCTCCCTTGCCCGCCCTAGCTCCGTGACGATATTCCTGTGCTGTCCGTCGCAGACTACGCCCGCAACTCCGTGAAGCTGGAGGGGATCACCTCCGTCGCCGTGCGCGGCGCCGACTCCGTCTGCGTCATCACCCAGCGGACCAAGGCACCGGCGGTGAGTTCGCGCGCGCTGGCCAGCACTGCTGAATGCTGCTCGATCGGGCGCAAACCGACGACCATCTCGTGATTTTGGGGAGTAATCGGTGATTTCGTGCTCGTTGCATTTCAGGACCCGTTGCTGGACACAGCGGACCCCGCCTTCATGCACCTGTTCCAGATCACCGAGCGGCTTGGTATGCTGGCCACGGGAATGCCAGGTGAGGTGACTGATCCTCTCTGCGTGCGGACTCCGTCAGTTCTAATCTCTTGTGTACTGATCCTGTGCACGCAATTTGATCCCACTGGTGATTAATTCGCACCTGCATTGCGACTTGTGAGATCGAGTAGGACTTTACCTATGGAGGGTTTTGCTTTCCATCCGGAAGTACTTGCTAGAACACCTTGATTCTACTGTGAATTGTGCACTTCTAGGATACTTTGATGAACCGGGAGTAATGTTAATTTTTCAGGTTGGATCAGTGGAGTACTATTGTGAATGATGATCCATTTGAATGTCTAAAACCTTGGGTTACAGTGTACGTAATTATGTCAGCCAGGTCCTTAATTAGGGAACTCTTAAATTTTTCAGCGTGAATCGTGATCTTTAGCTGGGTGTTGCCTTGTGCAAGTAGTTAATCTATCTGACTAGTTATGATACTTGTTATGATTGCACTGGACTGTTGATTTAGTACCTCCTTTTACTTCTGGAGTATTGAACATCTATAATGGTTTTGAAACTAGCAATTAATTGTCCTGGCCCTTAATCTGAACTTTAAATCTCAAAAAACTACATATGCCTTACGTACAGCATTACGAGGCCAATAGAGTTTAGCAGGACATGATGATACACTGCCATTTTATCTGTCTATTTCTGGATTATTGACGGGCCTTTTTCTTCACTGAAGCTGACGGGAGAGCATTAGCTCAGCAGGCAAGGAACGAAGCTGCAGGGTTCCGTCACAAGTGGGGATATGAAATGCCTCCTAAGATGTTGGCGCAATGGTAAGATTTGCTCTTAAGTAAGTACATGACGCAAGCAGCACAGATGAAAACAAAAACTATATTTCGCCTGAGAACATTTAAAACGCCCTTCATCGGCGCGTATTATCAGTTGTCATGTTGAAGATATGGGAAGTGATGATGAGAACATTTTTCCGCCAAAAAATATTGCTTGTACTTTAGTACCAGAGCTTACATTCTGTGTGCTAAGCTATATGTACACTTTCCTTGGTTCAGTAACTTGGCACACTTCATTCATTTCAAGCCATGCTTTACGTTTAGCCAGTTGTATTTTGATTGTCTACAGGTTGGGAGACAGAGCACAAGTTCGCACCCAGCATGCTGGCATGAGACCTTACAGAGTTGGTTAGTCCTACTTCTTCTGACTTTGTGTATGAGAGAGTGGTGAAACTTGTCAGCATATTATGTTTCCTTATGTTCTAATAAAGGTCTTATTCGTTAGTCCAATCCTTTTAACCTCCTTCACAGTTGCTACGGTCGTGGGAATTGATGAAGAGAAAGGAACTCCAGATCTCTTTACATGTGATCCTGCTGGACAAGTCCTTGGCCACAAGGTATCAAAGAATTTTGTGCTGTGCTCATAAACTTGTATTCATCAAAATGCAAGAGTCGCATTTCTGCTGATGATTATTTAGTTATTCTCAAGCAGTAATGTGGATGGCCAAAAAATTTGCGATAAGATACCACGCATAAATTAGGAGCATCTATACATGAGTACAAGGAGTAACTAGATTCACTGATGTCCTCTCCTCAGGCAACCAGCGTAGGTCTCAAGGACCAGGAAGCTATCGAGTTTCTCGAGGAAGCAATGGCGGCCAATTCTTCTTTATCATTCCAGGAAACCATGGAGGTGAGCATAAGTGCATAACATTAACAGTATTATCGAACAACAGACATAATTATCGTATACAAAACCTCATGCTACAAGGAAACACAGACAAAAATGATGGACCACGAGCACGAGTTGATCGTATTTCCTATTGTCTTTTCACAAAGCCTGTAACTCGTTCAGTTGATTTAGGAATAGTTTGCTGACATATTATTAACAGTACTGCCATTTATACTGCTAAGAAAGCAGACAGCAGGCCGTCAACTATTTCGTTGTTCCTACTTGTGGTTTCCGAGGAAATCATGCTGTCAAGTATCGGCAGTTGTATAGCATATTAGTTCAGGACATTTTTTCTTCCAGCAATCGTGAAGTTGCGGCTGGCATGATCTATTTGGATTCTCATGTTTTTTGGGGCATATTTATCTGTGCAGCAGCATCTTGAGCTCATGTTGTTAATTATAGTCGTTTGTCTATGAGTCTCAGCTTGGTTCCCTGCGCTTCCAATAAAAGCAGAGCTGGCCTATTTGACTGTAGCCTCAAAGTTTTCCTGAATCAGCTCAGTGGCACTTCAAGCTCATTGTGATTTTATCTTCCTCTCTTGGTTTTCCAGATGGCAGTGTCTGCACTGCGACACGTCCTGGAGGATAATAGCCAAGGCCATGACATCGAGGTAATGCAATTGTAATTAATTAATGTTGTAGCAGTAGTATCTACGGATATGCTGATGTATTTTGCACATCACCTTTTGCTGAGCAATGCAAGTGAAATCTATGCTCCAGGTGGGAGTTGTCAGGAAGAATTATCCGATCTTCAGAACGGTGTTGAGGCGCATCTACAAAAATCCGCTTGCAGGGCAGAGCATCCTGGATGGAGAAGGCCAGTAATATGCGAATTTGTCATGAGATTGATAGGACTGCAATTTCTCCTAGTCGGTAGCGTTTTAGCGTGGGGTCTCATTTCAATCAGGCAGCCACAAAAGTCAGAACACACCTGCTCAACCGTCGGTCATTTGAGTCTTTTACACTGAACTTCAAACCATAACTGATAGCAGTACTATCTGACTGCTTAGGGCATCTTCAATGGTTGTAACTTGTAAGATAGTTGTTGGTAGACTTTGTCACATAGGATTTTTGATGATGTATCATACAATAAAGGAGAAAAGAGAGGAAGGTTGTATGTACATGAACCAACACACCTTGCACAAGCTCCAATGTAGAATGAGAGAGCACCTTATTTATTATCTTACATCCTATTGGACAAACTACATACAGTTGTTGTATGTTAAGATGTTGGTTGATGACATGCCATATTTTACCAACAAGCTAACATATAAACGCTAACATATAAACTGTTGGAGATGCCCGAAGCAGTGCATGACACAGTGCTGAATCTGTCATCTACAGTGAGATTGAGATTCCCGATGACTTTTATTATTCTGAGGGCGATGGATGATGAAACTTCACCGTCTAGGAACTAGGAAGAAGCCGCCGCCTGTCCCTGTGCCTGTGCTACCTTGGCCAGAGATAGCTTGCCCACGAAGTTCGTCGCGAGGCTCCCGAAGAAGAGGTCTCCGTTGAACTCCGTCACTGAAGTGATGAAGTTGATCACCTTCCCTTCTGTGTCGTCGAGCACGCGGAGGACCTCGCCGTCCTCCGACACCTGCGCCACCATCGCCCCCTTCCCCGTGGCGTGGACCGCGTCGAGCAGCGCCGGGAACGAGGCGACGACCCTCTTCGTGAACGTCCAGCGCATGACCAGGTCCAGCCACGGCGACCTCTGCACGCAGATTGAGCAACCAAGAGTATGATTGAGCTGGTACGGTATCCAAGTTGGTGAGCTGAGGTGTAGACTAGTAACCTGGATAAGGGCGATCCAGAAGGAGCCGTCTGGCGCTAGCTGGATGTTATCCGGAGACCCGGGAAGGTCGCCGACGAACGTCTCCGCCTGGCCGGTCTTGTCCCCCTTCAGCCACAGCCTCGTGCATTTGAACCTGCACCTCACAGAATTGAGCTGATGCCTGCAGCAAGACTGACTAGTGTGAAGTGCAGGGCGTGCCCAGGTGCTTACCTCCCTGTCTCGCAGACGATGACGAAGGCCTCGTCCCGTGACAGGGCGACGCCGTTGGCGAAGGAGAGGTTGTCGAGCGCGACGGACGCCTTGCCGGTGCGCGGGTCGTACTTGAGGAGGCGGCCGGTGGGTTGGGACTCGACGTAGGCATGGAACCACCGGTCGAAGCCGAACCTGGTGCTGGCGTCGCTGAAGTACACCGTGCCGTCCGATGCCTCGATCGCCTCGTCGGCGAACCTGCCCGTGTGGAGGAACACGGGGAAACGATCAGTACGTACAGCCACAGGCACGCTGCAGTTTTCTGCACGATGAACACGAAGACGAACCGAACCTGATCGTGGAGCCTTCGACCGTTGAGGCGAGGATGGTCACACGGCCCTCCTCAACTCGCAGCAGTCCCTGCCAAACCCACACCAAAGGAGAAATTTTCCAACAGTTGAAATGATTGTTCGTGGTACGAATGATTCTGTCACGCGGCGGCGCATGCAACTGCCGGCGCCGGCCGATTGATCCTGTTGTGCGTACGTGCGTACCTTGTCGGCGTCGCAGACGAGCACGCTGCCGTCGGCGGAGGGCGCGATGCCGAGCAGGCCCGTGCCGCCGACGAACCGCCACTGCTCCCACGACCCGTTGGGGTGCATCCTCTGCAGCCACCCGTCCCTCGTCGCCGTGTACAGCGTCCCTCCCGCCGCCGCGTCCACGTACACGTCCTCCGGCGCGCTCAGCTGCCCTTCCCCCAGCTTCTCCAGCCCCTGCATATACCAGACCATCAGGCCATCGGTACGCGGCGTGACACGGCAAGATTACTCTAGCACGACTGGCAAGGAACGAACGACTGACCTGGAGGAGGTTATTAGGCCGGTAGCGCGCGGCGGGCGGTGGCGGCCGCGGCGACGGGAGCGGCTGGATGGGGCAGTTGAGCGCGACGTGGACCGCCAGCGACACGACCACGGCCACCGCCGCCGTGCCGAACAGACCACCGAGCGCCATGACGAGACAGCACTGAAGTGAATAACGAAGCTGTGGCGATCGAGTGGTACTGGCTGGCAGCACGGGCCGAGGCTGGATGGTGTGCTGGACTAACGCGGTGCCGTGCCGGAATAGCACGGTTGAACTGTACTTATCCTGAGCCGATGGAAATCGGGGTTTGCACCTTTGCGCCGCGGGATGGATGAGTTTGGGCAGGTTTCGCAGGCGACGAGGGCGTGGTCCAAGAAGCGCCGCGTCTGCACGGATGGTGTATGATTGCACAATGTATTGTTCTTCGTGCATAGGCACGTATATATGATGTACAAAGGTGAGTTATGGACCTCAACTATATAAAGAACTAAGAGGCGGGCCTAATACACAATATGCACATAACACATATACTCAACACCCCCCGCAGTCGAAGCGGCACCGCGGCTGACGCAAAGACTGGACCGGAACTCCTTAAATGACGCCGTAGCCCGTAGGCAATCCTTTGGTCATGATATCGGCAAATTGTTGGGAAGTAGGGACGTGCAAAACATGAATATGGCCAAGGGCAACCTGTTCCCGAACAAAATGAATATCCAACTCAATATGCTTGGTCCGTCGATGATGCACCGGATTAGCGGAGAGGTAGACCGCCGAGACGTTGTCGCAGTAGACCACCGTGGCACGGTCAACAGGGCAAGAGAGCTCCTGAAGCAGCTGGCGAAGCCACGAACACTCGGCGACGGCGTTGGCCACCGCACGATACTCAGCCTCAGCACTGGAACGAGAAAAACCGTAGGCTGCCGCTTGGACGACCACGAGATGAGTGAGGGTCCAAGATAGGCACAATAGCCCGAAGTGGAGCGACGAGTGTCAGGGCAGCCCGTCCAGTCTGCATCGGAGTAGGCGGTGAGGGCGGTGTCGGCGGAGGCGTGAAGCGTGACGCCAAGATCCATAGTGCCACAGATATAGGGAGAATCCGCTTGACGGCAGCCCAGTGAATGTTTTGAGGAGCATGCATATGAAGACACACCTGCTGCACGACATACTGAATCTCCGGTCGAGTCAGAGTGAGGTACTGGAGAGCACCAACGATAGACCAATGGAAAGTAGCATCCAAAGTAGGAGAACCATCCGTGGCAGAAAGCTTGGCCTTCGTATCAACAGGCGTAGCGGCGGGCTTACAGTTAAGCATGCCAGCGCGCTCGAGGAGCTCGTGAGCGTACTTCCGCTGATGAAGGAAGAAGCCATCCGGACGACGCACCACCTCGACACCGAGAAAGTAGTGCAAAGGACCCAAGTCCTTGATGGCGAACTCAGCGCGAAGACGAGCCGTGAGCTGACTGAGGAGACCAGCTGTACATGCCGTCAGGATGATGTCGTCGACATAGAGCAGCAAGTAGGTCATGTCAGAGCCCTGATGATAGACGAAGAGAGAGGCGTCCGAGCGGGTAGAGCGGAACCCAAGCTGGTGGAGAAACGCCGCGATGCGCTGGTACCAAGCGCGCAAAGCCTGCTTGAGTCCGTACAAGGACCGCGAAAGCAGGCACACGTGGTCGGGAAGCGCCGGGTTAACAAACCCGGTGGGCTGCTGGCAGAAGACCTGCTCCTCGAGGTGACCATGGAGGAAGGCGTTGGAGACGTTCATCTGGTGCACCGGCCAAGCACAGGAGACTGCAAGGTGGAGAACCGTGCGTATCGTGCCGGGCTTGACAACCGGAGCGAAGGTGTCGGTGAAGTCAATGCCAGCACGCTATCGGAAGCCACGAACGACCCAACATGCTTTGTAGCGATCAAGGGTACCATCAGGACGGAGCTTATGTTTAAAGACCCACTTCCCAGTAATCATGTTGGCGTGCCGGGGACGGAGAACAAGCTGCCACGTCCGGTTGCGCAACAGGGCGTCAAACTCCTCTTGCATCGCAACCATCCAGAGCGGGTCACAAAGAGCGGCTCGAACGGAGGACGGCAATGGTGATGGCTCAGAGGTGGATGCCGCATGGACGTAGTCAGCCGAGGCGTAGCGCGAGCTCGGGCGAAAAATGCCCGTACGGGCGCGGGTGACCGGACCGGCCACAGGCGCTGGGGGGCCGCGGGCGCCGGTGGCGCAGGGGGTGCCGCGGGGGCCGCGGGCACTGGGGGGGCCGCCGGGGCTGCGGGCGTCGAGGGCATCAGGGGGCCGCGAGCGCCAAGGG